ATTATAATTGTACTTAAAATGAAAATATATTTCAATGAAAAGTTTCTTATTGTGTAGTTTCTAATTATTTCTGACAGTTACAGCCAGTAATTATAATCAGAACACTACACACAAACAACACGGACTTCGAGACAGATCGTTAACACAAATACATTAAAATCAAACCGAATTGCATACGAACATCATACACCAGTTTACATCTACATACAAAAGCGAAACTTCTAAGTTCAAAACTGCTTAATTCGCGGCTCGTACTCCCGATATATCTGCGAAGCAAACTAAGGGAAAATTGTAAAATTGCGATCGTTACTCATATAGTGGTGCACAAGGACCTTATTAAAGTTTAAAGGTCTCGGCCATTATTCATGAGCAGGATACGGTCGCAGTTGATTCCCCACACGTAATAGTAGCTATAAATTTCGTGAACTTTATTGGCTATTAAAATAAGTAATGAAATTGTTCGTGTTTCGTACTAACTGTGCGAGTTTGGTACGATTAAATTGTTGTTTGATTAGATAGTGGGATAAGGTTTATGTTTTTACAAAGTTTTTGTGGTTTGAGAAACTATACTATCTATAATAGAACGTTTATTAAAAACAATACTAGAAATTAACTAAAACTCGCGGGTTACTCACTTGAATATACTGAGAAAAGCTCTACTAGTTTCAAAGCACAGAGGGGTTCTTCTTCATGAGCAGCGTGCGCGGTCGCGACGATGTCGCGCAGCCTACTGGCTAGCTATGAGGAAGAACCCCTCTATGGTTCGAAACTAGTAGAGCTTTTCTCAGTATATTCACGTGAGTAACCCGCGAGTTTTTATTAATTTAGTATGTCTCACGATAGTTATTATAAAAACAATACTAGAAGTTGTTACTACAAGCGTTGTGTTTCAAACGAGGTGATAAATGTTCAAAACTTCTCTATGTGTGGAAAAGCCTTTGCTCAGCAGCACTTAGGTACAGGCTAATGATGATAAACTGGTTTTTGATAGTGTTAAAACAGTATTTCATTTCCATAAACCTTTTTTAAAATAAACAAGTAATAAAGCATACCATGATCTAAGACTCCTCAACTCTAGGATACTTCATTTTCATTACAACGACAAGATCAGACGGGTAGAAATAAAGAGCTCATTAAACATGAAGAATTCTTAGACAGATAAAATATTCAAGTAGAAAAGGTACTTGAAATGTACGGATACAAACAATTTGCAACTTTATTTACTGTAGGTAATATGTACTTTTATGTATTACCTCCCTGTTTTTCAGTAGAGACTATTTTAATTAGTACAATGCGCATACTTATCGTTTGTTGAAGCTTAAAATAAGTACCTTACAGTACGAGCTACTTTCAAAAGAGCGCTTTGTTTCCATTTTGTTCAACTGTAATTTTGTGCTCGTGAAAAATGTAAAGAACTACTCTTAGTATGTTGTTTGTGAAAGAACTAATTGCCGACTGAAAGAATAACTGTTTGCTGTAAAATAAAATGCTTTTGATAGTGCTGTTTTTGTTTTAGTGGAAAGTTTGTTAATCATTTTTGTTTGTATTTTGAATGGAAATGTGGAAGTACTAATGATCGAAGTTAAATTTGATGCAATAAAACCTATCTTCACCTCTTGAAGAATGGTAAGGTTAGAAAATCCCTTAATAAAATAGTATCGAGGCCGTTACAAAGATCTGTTTTCTACTATTCCACACTAGAGGGTAGTAGGGTAGTCTCCAATGAAGCCACCATAACATAACGACATAATGTCGTGGTGGCCCGGAGGTTTAAGACGCCCGCTTCTCATGCATGAGAGTGCAATTTCGAAACCTACCAACAGCAAGTACCAATGTGTCTTTTTCCGAGTTATGTGTACTTTCTATAAGATTATCTAGACACCACTGAGAAATGGTGAAAGAAAATATCGTGAGAAAACTTGGGCTTATGATTTCTATTATTATACCTAAGTTGGAAATCGCCAACCCAATGCGGGTTGTAATGTTCAAACCTTCAAGCAAGCAAGCGTGGTGAACAATGTTCAAACCTTCTCCGTGTGAGAAGAGGGCTTTGGTCAGCAGTGGCCACATATAGGCTGTTGATAATGATGGATGAATGAATCAATCAATTGGGGGGAGAACGCGGTCTCATTTTTTACGCAAAACAAACTCCTACAGTAAGTTCGTACATAAGGTCTCTGAACTACTATTGCCGAAGCATTGTCACAAACCTCATTTAAAACTCATCCGTCCAATGAAACAGGATTTACGTCTTAACACCAAACCTTAATCAAATGCGTCGTAATTAAATCAAACACGTACTCCACAAGTTTGCCTCGATCCTTTGACTTCAAGGCATTCGCCTGTAAATTCGGATTTCCATTAAATTAAACACCGTCTTCACAAAACTATTTATAAAGATTCCGTGGTAAGGGGGTTCTATTCAGGATGTGAAATTTGACGTAGGAGACCTCTACCGGTTCAAATAAAGCGATGAGCAGCCATTGTGTAGGGTTGAAAGGTGGGACATATCTATCTCATAACCATCGCGACGCCTTATTATTCCTTGTGATTTCTTCATTTTGGTGTAAAAAAGGAGGTGTATGGAGCTGTTAATACCGTTTTTATTACGATTTTGAGTGTTAGTTTTAAAATGTTTTGGAATGAATGGATCTCCGTTGTGTTTCGACGTGTGAGTGACGTTATGAGAGGCCAAATCGTCCTTCAGCCCAAAAAAAAGTTAGGAATGAACTACAAGTGCATTCCTAACTTTAAAGACATCTAGTGTTCCAGGTATCGGGCGGCGCGGCAGAAATTGCTAACCATGTAGTAATACACTCGTTTGCCACCAAATTTTACAATTTTATTTTACTTTCCATAAAATATCTTGATTAAGAGTAAACTTCGCGAATTCTAACTTGAATTTTAACTTGAACTATTTGAATGAAAACTTCTAAAGAATAAATGTACAATTACTTATTTTTGTGTAGATTAAGGTTTAAAGAAATAAATACTTTTTGCATATGGAATAACAACTCTATAAAAATATTCATCTTAGATATGAAAACGTAGCCCATTGCGTGTGAATAAGAATACACGTAAAGGGCTCTATAAGACCCACGTGTTATAAACAACCGAAATGAAATGGCCCCCGCGGATCCAATCCAGGACCCTTTTTCTTTCCATTCTTTTATCAACGTTATAACATAGAGGGCTCAAGATACACTGGTTCTTTTTGAAGACGATCGCAAGGCGTGTAAGTTCGCATTTATAAAGATTCTGAACGCATTCCACAAATGAACACAATTTAAAGATGAATGCTTCTTTGGATTCTCAATTTGAATGAACATTCAGTTTGATTTGACCGTAATGACGTCATATTTTGTCGGTTCAATGTTTTGGGAAAATAGGGTGACGTGAAAGGTAAATCGTTTATGTAGATAGTATGACTTGTACTTACTTATTTCTGGGTCTTTGTGTCTTGTTGCTTATCTATGTAAAGCGTGACGGTGCCATTTCACGACGTATCCATTTTATTCTTTCATATAAATTACCCCTGTTTAGTTATAATGACGTAACGTTTTATTTTATAAAATGTAGTTACCTTTACATATATAGGGATTAAAAAAAATCGACGTTCTCTGCGATGCAAATTTTGTTCATTTATACCTACTATTATCCTACTATTACTTTAATTATAGGATTTACTAACCACTTCAAAAAGCAGAACGCATCCCTATCACGCATACTCACTGGCATAAGACCTACATATCACTCTAAAGCCACTTTAGCCTTATTACAATGCAAATGAGTCCCACTAACAACAAATACCACTTCAGATTCTCATCAAATTGTAATATTTTGTTCGTCAAACAACCTGAGGGAATTGTAAATCCTTGGGAAGCCATACTCGTTCAGCATTAGCATGAGATACTTAAGTGTATGACATACACTCGACGGATTAATCCCATATTAGGCATGCATCAAAGACTTCGGAACAGTGTGGGGTAACAGTGATTTTAAACAATGGGAATTATGAGTTGCTACGCGAAGCTACTTGACCTAATATAGATACTGTGTAAGTGACAAAGGAAATTGAATTTTGGAGTGGTGAATTTACGATTGAAAATGAGTTATTGAATTTGGTTAGTCATTGTAACTGTGATTAGATTTTGAATTCAGCTATAATCTTATATATAAAAATGAATCGCTGTTCGTTAGTCTTGCTAAAACTCGAGAACGGCTGAAACATTTTGGCTAATTTTGGTCTTGAAATGTTCATGGAAGTCCAGGGAAGGTTTGAAAGGTGAAAAAAAAATTTTAGGCGGTACGAAGTTTGTCAGGTCATCTAGTTAGGAATAAAAATAAACCATGTAGCCTTTGTTTTAAGCTCAAAAATCAGTAACAGCCAGGCCATCTGGAAGTCATAGGGAAAGCCTTTGTTTAACATTCAATGTCTTGTAGCTGATAGGTATGGTTATAACAATAATTAAGTACGAACTTTTGTTAGTGGAGTCGTGTTATAGTCGTAGAACGAAGACGTCCGCTTCTCATGCATGAGGGTGCGGGTTCGAAACATAGCAACAGCAAGTACCAACGTGACTTTTTCCGAATAATATTTACTTTCTAAGATTATTCGGATACCACTGACAAACGGTGAAGAAAAACAGTGTGCGGAAAACTGGGCTTATAATTTCTAATTATAAGTTTGTTTTATTAATTATTATTTAATTAGTATCTCGAATCACTTTAATAAATCCTTTTTAGTTAAATTCAAGTACCGTACCTATTACACTGATACTGTTTTAATTCTTATATTATGTTCTTTTCAAGATCAACACATGCCAGTGCCTCGATAAACGATTATACACGTGTCACTAGGCACTAGGTATCACTACAGTCATAAACTATTTTTTTATCAAACACACGATTTCTATATAAAAATTAATAAAAGTAAAATTTTTTCTATTGACTCATGTCATGAATAAAATTTAATTACCACATTTTTCTTGTATATAAAGGCCTGGTGGTTGGAGAATGGGAATTATTATTCAACAGTCGAAATGAGAGCGGCGCGTACCATAGCAACTTGTTTCCTACTTTTGGTACCTTTGGTACCACGGAATGGAGTTCATGATTCAAGTGAGTATTACAATTATTTTTATTAACAACCATATCTATCTTTATATATATGATTCTGCTGTACGTATGTATGTCATTAAACTCCTCCTAAACGAATTGACCGATTTAAATAAATTTTTCTGTACGTGTTTGAGTGGCGCCCTGGATGGTTTAGATTCACAAATCAGCCCGGCAGATGGCGCTACAGCCGATGTCTAGGTTAGTTATCGTAAACGGCTGAACTGATTTTAATGAATTTTTGTTTATATATTCAAGTGGATATGCAGGACATCGTCTGTTGGGTCCGCTAGTATATATATAAATGAAACACGTTTCCCGTTGTCACGCCATAACTTGAGAACGGCTAGACCAATTTGGCTGATTGTTTTTTGTTGTGTTTATTACTGTCAGGAGAAGGTTCTGATGACAGAAAAAGGTCCTGAAAATCCTACGGGAACGGGAGAAAACGTGATTACGCGTACGAAGTCGCGGGCAGAAGCTAGTAATAAATACATATTTGTAGTTCTTTCACTTGTTTCACTTGTTTCACTTATAATTATGTAGTATTGTTGTACGAACAGTAGGTACGTGATTGCACGGTTGGTGCGGTGGCTTTGCAACTGGCTGCCGAGCAACGTGTCAAGGGTTAAATTCCCGCACGCAACAACTATTTGTATAATCTACAGATTGTTGTTTCGGGTCTGTGTGTCATGTGTATGTGAACTTGTATGTTTGTAAACGCACCTACGACTCAGGAGAAAATCCTAGTGTGGGCGACGTTTTCTTGAAAAAGAAGAAAATGTTCATTCAAGCGTTAAGTATATTTAATTCTTCGTTTAAGAATCTTTTTCACGATGTTTGAAACTGTTTTGTGCTTGAGTCTTATTCTTAGACTACTTAGAGATTTTAGAGATATGTCGAAATCCACAGATATGTTTTTGAATATGTATTTCATATAGAAATAAAAAATTGCAAGTCAGTCACTGCAAGAAATGTGAATTTAATATTAATAATTTATGTATTTCATTTTCAGAGTCGTCTCCACTCCTCAAAGGTAAGTATATTTTGGAGTAACAAATATCATCACGAAATTTTTCAATATTTAATCTTTAGTTAGAAGGTCGGATAAAGGTACCTACCTACATTACATACAAGTTATATACAATATACAAAGTAACTTTTATTTATTTTCAGAGGTCGGAGAAGCACTGAAAAGTACGTAAATAATATTTTATTTTTTCTACATTTATTAATCATAATTTCAATTATTGTAAATATTTTAATTCATAGTTATTTATATTTTAAGTTGTATATATTTTCATTTAGTAATAGTTAATATTAATTTTATTTATGTCCAAATAATAATTAATCCAAATTAATAAATAATGTCTTAAAATTATAATATGTATTATGTTCCTGTGTCATAAGACACATAATCACAGATCAACGCCAATATAACATTTTACTTACTTACGGAGGCGTGATTTCAATTAATTTAAATGTATCATTATCGTTATTTTCTATTATAAACATATAACAAAAAGTATTGTATTAGTATAAACTAATATGATTTTAAACTGTTTACAGATTTGACTAGCAAGCAGTTGCAGGTGGTAGCCGGAATTCAAACTAAAAGTAAGATATTGTGACTCGCCTATAATGAGATTTAATTCATAAATAATTGGTTTTATTTCTATTTTTTATATTATTTCTTTTACAGACGACACGGCACCCTCGTACGAGCTTACTCAGACTAAACCAGGAGGAGGTATGTATATACATACATAGAATGCATGTACTTAATCACGCTACAACTTTATTTGATATCTAATTCCATTCATCAATACATCATCAACGCCCGTATCAGTTCACTGCTGGAGTCTGGGTTTCATCTAAAGAAAAACTACTTTAAGAAATTACTTACATACATAATTTCACGCCCGTCTCCCAGGGGGATAGGCCGAGACTATTTCTTTTTAAAGGTGGGAAAGTCATCGAATGACTTCTCCCGCCTGGGTGAAGCGGGAGGGAGTGTCAGACTCCTACTGACTAAAGACCACGCCGTTTCTACTCATGCACTTCGAGCCGGAACGCCAATTGCTACGATTCTTACACATATTTTCGCTTCATCAACAGTCATCAGTCTTAAGAAAATACTAATGATGATATTTTTCAGGATCTCCAGGAGGCGGTGGTGGTTCTCCAGGACAAGGTATATAGTGATATAATATCTATTCTATAGATATGGTTTTAATACTAATAAAAGAATTTTAGAAGTAAAATATTTTAAAGTCTACTTTGCAAATGTAATTATTATAATGTGCTTAGGTTCAATAAGATACTTTTAATGGAAAACATGGTTATAACAGAAAGTATTTAGTTTGGGTTTCGTCACCTATTATAATTAAAACGAAGAGTAAGTAAGACGTAGCCAGTTTATGTTTAGATAAGACTTCCTTATGGGTAAATAGATAATACAGAATAGATTCGATAGAGATATAGATTAGATGTTAGAATTTGAGACTTAATTATATCTCCACATAGTAAAAACAAAGTCGCTATCCGCCGTCTGTCTGTCCCTATATATGCTTAGATCTTTAAAACTACGCAAGGGATTTTGATGCGGTTTTTTAATAGATTGAGTGATTCTTAAGAAAGGCTCATATGTATAATACATACATATTGCTTCGTGCGAAGCCGGAGCGGGTCGGTAGTATAGAATAATGGATACTGGATGCTGCAAATTCATTCATTCATCGGAATAGAACTAAATATTTTCCCAGTTGTTAGTGGTTTACTTTAGTCTTATCTAAAAATGTTATACAGGCGGTTCAGATGATGGCAGTTCACAACCATGTGATCAACCAGGTAAAGCTTTCTTTCAATAGTTACTCAATTTTTAAAAGAATATAATAAAAATATAGGTAAAATTTACAGTTATGGATATCGAATGTAAAATAATGAAAAGCTTAGTAATATGTTTATTATTTTATTTTTAATTTGGGTTACCAACTGCTATTTTTCAAATAATAAAAATTCAGGATATGCTAATACAAAGCCAATTATAGGCTTCCACGGCTAGCTACAGTATATATTTACAGGGGTTTTGCGTATGCAATGCACATATAGTAGAAATCAAAGATATTCATTCAGTAAATTTAAGGTTTAGTCGCCTACGCACCCTGGAACTGCTTGTGGTGTGTAAAACCATTGAAAAAATATTTAATATTCTTATTATTTTTTATCTAACCACCGTGGTTTTTTATAGGTGGTGGCAGTCAACCAGGTAAATAATGGAACATGATCAGAATATGGCTGGTTTCATCTTCATCATTCATCTTCATCATGCAGATATTTCTTTTTCTATTAAAAATTGGTTTCTTCTTCTTTACCGTTCATGATAATTTTATAAATTACATCCTTTTTATTGTAATCGTGTGTTTTTTCTTCAGGCGGTGGCAGTCCCGGTGGTCAACCAGGTAGATGACTCGTCATCATTATTGATTTATTTTATTTTTATAATTTTTTTTTTAATTCTTTGTCGCTCCCTTATAGCGAAGTTGATAATAAGATATACGTGCCTAAAACTGGTTTTCAATTTTTATTAAGAAATGTCTCTTTATTGCACTTCAATTGCCACTCATAATTATTCTATAGTCACATACATAAGTTTTTCTTATTATTGTGTTTTTTCTTCAGGTGGTGGCAACCCCGGTGGTCAACCAGGTACTTAACCTCATAATTTCTTTCTATTTTAACCCTAAAAACCAACATCCTGATGTACTCTTAAAAAAACGTTCCTAGAATTTTTCGTAAGCGAATGTTAAAATGACATTGGCTGATTGCATGTGGTGAAGTCGATTATTTTGACATGAACTGTCCAAATTTTTTTTAGTCCACTGTCATCATCGCTTATGTGTTTATAGTCTAAACCATGTTTCGAAATATTTCTGACAATCATGTTTTTTTTTACAGGCGGTGGCAGTCCCGGTGGTCAACCAGGTAGATGACGCGTCATCGTTATTGATTTTATTGATATTTAAGAAAATATTTTATATTACAATTTTCTTTTTATTTTATTCATTTTAAAATGCTTATGTGCGTCCATTCTTTTTGTGAAGTTGATAATAAGATCTATCTATATAAAATTGGTTACCAATTTTTATTAAGAAATCTCTCCTTAGTACAATTTAATCGCCACTCGTATTATTCTAGAGTCACATTCTTAAGTTATTCTGATTATTGTATTTTTTTCTCAGGTGGCGGCAACCCCGGTGGTCAACCAGGTACTTAACCTCGCAATTACTCCCTATCCTAACCTATAATTCAACATATAGATGTATTCTTAAAAAACTTTTCCCATAATTTTTGGTAACCGAATGTCAAGCCGAAATGACATTGGTTGATGTGTTGAAGTAGACTAATTGACCATTTTAACATGAACTGTCGAAAATTGGTTTAGTACACCTTCATGATTATTTATGATAATTTATTTTATGAACGAACCATGTTTTGGAATATTTCTGATAGTTATCTTTTTTTTTCAGGCGGTGGCAATCCAGGTGGTCAACCAGGTATATAGAGCATCATCATCATTACGTATTTGATGACCATTACCACAATTTTACAATACAGTCTAAACACCTTCTGTTTTAATTATACAGTCAGACAAACAGTTAAACTATACAGTTCTACTTAAAGAGGTGTTTGGAACCTGTACAGTTCGACTGTACAGTTAAGCAAAAGGTATTTAGGCTGCATTGATTGATTACTATCGACAATTTCTTTATATTGAATCTATTGATAACCAAACTCACAACACATTCATATTGTCTTGTGTTATTTGAAAGCTTATTGTTTTTCTTTATTAATAGCTTTGTACAGCCCGTTTTGTAAGCTTATCTCAATTTGCATTGACTACTTGCAGTAAAGTTGACAATAACAACAACATTATTTAGTCTAAATATCGTTTCACTAGGACACATGAATTTTGTGACACAATATAATTTTACGAGTCAATTACCTTCTTTTTCAGGAGGTGGTAATCCCGGTGGACAACCAGGTAATTTCATTTATACTACTTGATGTCACTTATCATATTCACCTAATAAAACAATGAAACTTGTTAGATCACTACTAACAGCAAGTACCAATGTGGCCTTTTCCGAGTCATATGTACTTTCTAAGATTATTTAGACACTACTGACAAACGGTGAAGGAAAACATTGCGAGGAAAATTGTGCTTATAACATCTAATTATTTTTAAAATTTTAAATCACCAACGCGCATTGAGCGAGCCTGGTTATTAATGCTCAAACTTTCTCCGAACAAGAAAAGGCTTTGATCAGCAGTGACTACTTATTGGCTGTAGATGATGACTTAAATACGTGCTTTGTTTTCAGGCGGTGGCAATCCTGGTGGCAATCCTGGTGGTAACCCTGGGGGCAGTCCCGGTGGACAACCAGGTACATAATCATCATTATCTGATTGTTGGGTAACCTCACAATTCCGTCCAATGCCTACATTTTTTCTTAAGCTTACATTAATGTCTTACATTGACGTTACGTTTTTTTTTCCAGGTGGCGGCAATCCCGGCGGACAACCAGGTACATGAGAAATTATCATCTATTCGATCGCCATCCATAAAATTTCTTCCTTTATTAACTTAATCCATTTTTTGTATTTGGTAGGCTTTACTAATGAATCAAGTTCTCATGTCTATGTTTACTTTACAGGCGGTGGCAATCCCGGTGGCCAACCAGGTAAGTACATGAGAAATCATCATCTATTCGATCACCATTCATACAATTTCTTCTTTTATTAACTTAATCCAGTTTTTGTGTTTGGTAGGCTTATACCAATGAACCAAGTTCTCAGTTCTATGTTTTCTTTTCAGGTGGTGGCAATCCCGGCGGTCAACCAGGTATATGAGGAATTATCATCTGATCCGATGGATTTCCTCGCAATTTTTTATATCTTAACCTATGAGAAATTTTAAAAATCTTCCATTAGGAATATCCGTAAACATATGTTAATGAATAAAGTTCTCAGGTCTATATTTTCTTTACAGGTGGTGGCAATCCCGGCGGCCAACCAGGTAATGACTATCCTCAAAATCTCTCCCGATCCTATAATTTTTCTTAAGTATACATTGGGAATGACACCTTAAATAAAAGTGGGTTATTTTAGTACCTCTTCATTGTCACATTCATCAAACTGAGTCAATCTTAGTATATCATTTTATGAGTCAATTTACATCTTTCCCAGGTGGTGGTAGTCCCGGAGGCCGGCCAGGCGGTAATATCTATTCTTTTTATTACTGAACTATTTCATACAACATGCCTTAGAAGTATTCTCCTAAGCTTTAAAATTCTAATGCATTTATATTTTATATGCTGAGAAGAAAAAAACCCAATGATTACTGTTAAAATATTCTTATATCTTCAGACATGTATAGAACCCTTTGTTCGTCTCTTTAGTCAAATTACCTCTGTAACTGGTTATATTGATAAAATCATAGATTTGAGGGAAATTTCTGATAATCATGCTTCTTTAGGTAAACACCCTAAACACCATCATGGTCACAAGAAGCCTAAGCCCTCGTCTGAAAAGCCAGGTACTGTTTTCATAAATGGATATTAAGAAAAATAAGACCCACTATTTTTTATGTCTAAAATTTAAAATAGTCGGTCTTATTTTTCATTTTAAAATATTATCAAAGAAAAAGTAGATTAATTATAGTCTATCGCTTTAGAGAGGTGTCTTATTATTCAAAGACACCGTTTAGCTTATTATTTTGAAGTACTATGTACTACTGCAGATGGACTTCGGTACCTAATTGTTTTTATGGAATTAGCCGAAGAACGAGCTGATAGATCACCTGATGGTAAGCAACCGGTGTCGCCGATGGACATTTAGAACACCAGATGCGATACAAGTGCGTTACTGGCCTTATGGAGAGATTCAGAAATTACCCCCTAATTGGACCTCCGCTCCGGTTACCTCACTCGTGACGAAATACAACGCAAGCGTTGCTTCACGTCGCTTTTCTGTGGGGCCGTGGTATCACTCCGGTCGAGCTGGCCCATTCGTGCCGAAGCATGGTTCTCTCATATTATTAAACCTTTATAGATGATATTATTTTATAAAATTAGTAATACAAAAGAAATGTTCTCTGTGGTAGGCGGTGGAGACGATACTGGCGACGAAGGAGAGCAAGCACAATCTGTATACGTTACGCAATATCAAAAAGGTAAGAATAGAAAGAAAACCAGAATTTTTCCCTACGATAAATAGATATTTGAAAGATTTTAACAATTTATAAATATGAGTTATTTTTGATCTCACTAATTTTATCAATTTTAAACACGCCAGGCATGTAGTTTTCATTTTACAAAAACTTTAACCTAATGGGGCTAAATCATGATAAAATGAAGCTGCCACCAGATCTGCTTTAGTTAATAAAATTACTTAACACCACTAAATGTAAAATATAAGGTATACCAACGCATTTTTTTAATTCCACGACCTTATTTTACAGGCTAATGATAACCTAGCAAACATGATGTTCCCGATACTAAAAATGGTAAATATAATATTCTAACGTAAGTGTAGTTACATAAGGAAACAGGTTTACCGTACAGACAAATCTGTATGGAACGGTACTGATCGGTGCAGGTATAATATTTCATTGAAACAGGTGCTGTGCCGGCACAGTCAGCACCTGTTTAAAAGCAAATTTGATACTGAATGAGTAGGTTTTAAATAAATAAAAAATAACCTACCAATTACTAGAGATATTTCATTAAATGTTCACCTCCAAATGAACAGCAATATTAAAATAAAATACTTTAATGTCAATTTTATCTTAACCTCTGAAATTATTTGTTTCAGGCAATGGTGTTCGAGTTGATTAACTATTTTGATAATTATGTATGTCGCACAAAACTTATTAGGCAAGAAATGTTCAATTGTTTTTATTCGAATAATTTTAATTGGTTCAAATAAATACTTTTTGGCAATATCTGGTTTATTTTCTTAATAATGTGTAGTACCACCACCCACATTTAACTTTAGAATGAGGAAAATTGAATTCAGTAGAAAATGGTTAACTTGTAATCGAACTTCTGAATAGTTAGCCAATTACATACTTAATAGGAAAAGACAATTCAACAAAGCACTTTGTTATTTGATCAAAACGTACTACTTTTCATTATTACAGAGCATATTGGTCATTTAAATATGATCCCTTTTGATCCAAGGACAGAACTAGTGATTATATGCAAACGTGATTGACATGGAGCGATTTACATCAAAAGATTTTGTCGTAACAATTTTAAAGTAAGAATTAAATCGTATCTTTTCGACATTGTCGTGGTCGAATCGTAATCGTAAGGCATAAATGTATCAGCAACTATGTAAGACTAAAACCCTAGCCATTACTAGTAATAAGCTGTTTAGTTTTAATCCGCATTTAGTTAGAAAAGTCGTTTCTTACACTATGGAGTACGAACACAAATCCTATGATGAATTAAAGCAAGACTTCTTGGGTGAAATGGACTTCATCAGTAACATTGGTACCAAAATGTTTATTTATCCGTTCATCGGTCGATCTAAAATCATCACTTACTGTTTCTACCTCACTTATGGCCTCTTGTTCTTAACATCAGCTCAATTAATCGTCACTCTCTGTATCATTTGTGTGGAAAGCTTTGATTGGTTCGAGATCATCAACGTTGCCCCTAACATCGGAGTTTGCTTTATGATTTTGATTAAGTACAAAAAAATCAATGACAACAAAGAGCTATATAATAAAATCTTCAAACATTTTCGATTTGACTTATGGGATACAGTTTTTAATACCGAAGAACACAAGAAGATCCTGAATCGGTACACGCAGACAACAAGGTTGATTTTGAGATTTGAATTCTATTACACTATTGGCCTTGCTGTCATAGTTGATTTATTTCCAAGAATCATTATGATTTACCAGAACGATATTCTTGATAAAGAACAACAGTATCTGTATCCATTCGATGGCTGGTATCCTTTCGACAAAATTGAATGGTACAATACTGCGTACATATGGGAGAGTTTTATGACCACAGTCGTTATCTTCATTTACGTTTTTGTCAATATGCTCCATATTTCTTTCACTCGGTACATTTGTTTTGAGTTAAAAATCCTTGGCAGTACTATGGAGGACCTTATTAATGAGGATGACGTTGTAAAGATTAAGAAAGGGAGAGAGATAGCAAAAGTCCATAAGAAAATTAGCAACAAATTAAAGTTTATCATTAGTAAGCATCAGTTTTTGGCCAGGTAATCTAACATTCTTAGTTTTAGAACTGTCTTCATATGGATGAGTATTTAACTACTGTAAAAGAGTGTTCAATTGATAATACTGTTTGCTTTACAGAATAACGTCTGATTTAGATAAAGTACTGGGTGATGGAATGTTTTTAACATACATGTTTGGATCTGTATTCATCTGTTTAACAGCATTCACAGCTACAGTAACAACTTTTACTTTGTCTAACATTTTATCTGCAATATTTTTGTATTCCCTATATCTTTTGATAATTTCTTTTCCAGGTTGTAGATGATCTGTACAAATCTATGCGATATTTCTCTTTCTTTTGTTCTTTGCTTGTGGAAGTATTCTTTCAATGCATAATGGGACAACTTCTTATTGATCATGTATGGTTTCTTACTAATATACATTAAACACTTGTGTTCTTCTCAGCTAATAGTCCTTAGTTTATCATTAATCTGCGTTAAATCGTATCCTTTAGTTAATCACTAAATATTGGATTTCATTTTTTTTTTACATCCCTAATTTTATTTATCTTTTGAAATACTGTTATCAGTCTCTTTAAGTATATTTTGTATCTTTCAGAGTAATAAACTGGAGAAAGCAATATATTTTGCTGACTGGGTCTATGCTAATAATGCAACGAAGAAAATGTTGTTAATTTTCTTAATTCGTTCTCAAAAACCTTTCGAATTCAGCGCCAACGGGTACTTGACTATGAATTTGGATACTTTTAGTGGGGTTAGTTATATTATAATTATAAACAATTTACTTATTCGCAATCGTGCCACTGTCTATTATTTTACCTAATTTTCCAGATCTGCAGCCTGTCCTACCAATTTTTCAATTTACTACGCACTGCATATTCAGAATAAGTTGAGATGATTACAAAATATATGAAAGTACCTAATATGTGCTTATTTTAAAATGTTATTAAAATACTTTTCCTAAGTCGTGCACTTGCTACTTATGTAGATTCAATAAATCTTTAAGTATGACTCAACGATGTAGTTTTTCTTAGTTTCAAAATACCTTACTAAATTATGTTCTATAAATAAAAATGAGCCAAGTGTCGTGTTCATGCGAAAATCTACGCTGTGAGCATTTAGCATGCTGCTCATGAGTATAAGATCTATTAAAGAGTATTTCAAAATCAAAAATCTTAAATAAAAGTTTGTTCGAACCGAGGATCACATGTTATATAACTAATAACTCCTTAACCAACCGAATTTACTCAGAAACATGCATAAACTATAGTTATAATATAAAATACAATACCATAAACACCTACATTACAAGAACTATACACGTAGAGGGATTCAATATGAGACCCTGTTATGAATATTTGTGAAGTGATTCTCACGAAATAACGAGAGTGAGAGAGGCGAGACTTCGCTGAGCGGGAAACGGCTTCGTATATTGAAATCGACCCCATAAAGACAAGATGTCTACATTCATATCGAGAGACTACGTGAAAAATAGGCGTATCGAGACTGTATTCTGACTGCATAATATCATTTTCACTCTGTACAGAAAGAAATATACGACTTTATTTCTGTTTTGTTAATGTATGTTTTGGAAAATGGAAAGAGTAAATAGGTTGCACATAATATGAGTAGTAGCACAGACGATAATTTAACAGTATTATAATATCTTCTATTTATAAACCATTTGTGTACTAAAGTTATTCTTTTCCGATATTATTATAGCAGACTGCTTCGTTGGCCGACTGGTCGCAAGTGCGGCTGCCGTCAAGGGCTCTCGGGTTCGATTCCTGGGCCGGCCAAAGTATTAATGGGTTTTTAAAAAACATCAGTAGTAGCACGGAGTGTGGAAATGTGCCCGGTATATGGCAATAGGCTTACCCCTATAGGACTCACAACATAAATAGTGAAAAGTGGGTGTTACTTCTGTGTGCACCTCTGCCTACCCCTTCGGGGATAAAAGGCGTAATGATATGTTATTATAGCCTACGGCATTAAGTCCGGCAATTTCACGGTATGTGCAATAAAGTTTAATAAATAAATAAAATAAAATATAGCACTTAATAATATACAATAGGCTCCCTAATTCTAACTGGTAGGCATATCCCGCGGCAGTACATTCTTATAATTTCGTACTCAACAGTGAATCTATAGAAAACTCAGAGTATTTATTTTAGGATGACTTAAGACTAAGACATTCAACATAGACTGGGCACCAGAACTATTTGATAAATCTGGATCTTTCAAGCTGCGATTTCCAACCTGCCAATAAAAGGATTTTGGCAAACCCTCATACGCGACAGTTATTAACGACGATTTATTTTTATTTAATGAATTCGATTTAATTTAGATTAGATTGGCCGAGTGGTCGGAAGTGCGACTGCCGGGCAAGGGGTCTCGGGGTCGATTCTCGGGTCGGGCTAAGTATTACTGGGTTTTTCAATAATTCACAGTAGTAGCACGGAGTCTAGAATCGTGCCCGGTATATGGCAATAGGCTCACCCCCTATTACTTGGCACTCATAACATAAATAGTAAAAAGTGGGTGTTACATTGAACTGTGGCCCTCTGCCTACTCCTTCGGGGATAAAAGGCGTAATGTTATGTTATGTAATTAGATTTAGGGCTAGATACTATAATAATTATATGTACACATGTAACGTACTTGTAGTTGCTGAACCAATGAAATTAACAGCAAAATATTTATATTAAGTGAACTGCACACAATTATAATAGTTCAGTGAAAATTTTTATCAAATAGTATGTATCACGATCACTATAAAAACTTGTTTACATGAAAATACCTAATTGTAAAACGATGCACATGTCAATTCTACACTAATAAAATATCCCAGCTTCGTATGATTAATTTGTAATCGTAAATAAATGTGTTTCGCTTAGTTTAAATACATTTGACTGTACGTTTGGCGCGGTGGTTGGACAACTGACTGCCGCGCAACGTGTCACGGGATCGATTCCCGCACGGAACAACGCTTTGTGTGATCCATAGATTGTTGTTCCGGATCTGGGTGTCATGTGTATGTAAACTTGTATGTTTGTAAACGCACCCACGACACAGGAGAAAATTCTAGTGTGGGGGCAACGTTTAAAAAAAATACCAACTACAAAAAATGTTGACAAAACTTGTTTTTAAATCGATACATAAAGCATCTTAAGTTAGATAAGATAAGATAAAGATACTTTTATTTTGCAAATATGGGTAACAATTACAGGTGACATAAAAATACAGGTTCAGCCATATTTTACCATTTAAGCATGCAAATGATATACATAGTAAAATGCATTGGATAATATGTTACAATTGAAGACAAACAACCCAATAAAAAGAAAAAACATAAACAAAAAAAGAAGACCATAAATTAGGAACACAGTTTTCAATTCAAGCACTTACAAAAAAAAAATCCTTCTCATTCAGATACTCAGGCAAACTATAATATGCTTTAGCCACTAAAAAGCTTCGGAATTTTTTTTTAAATAAATGTAGCGGAAGCTCCTTCCAACCCTTAGGTATCCCATTATAAATAACTGAAGCCATGCAGTAGACACTCTTACGCATAAGTGCTGTCTTAGCTGGCTCTTTACATAGGAGACTATTATCGCGTCTGTTGCGGGGAAATACATCGGCCATGCGATTAAAACGACTAGGGTTTGTCTTCACGAACACACCTACTTCCAGGATATACAAACTAGGCAACGTCAATATTTCGTAATTTTTAAAGAATGGTTCACAACTATCTGTAGATTTTAGCTTAAACATCGCTCGTAAGCACTTTTTTGTGCTTTGAAAGCGGGTTCTCTTTCAGTAGAGTTTCCCCAAAATATAATCCCATACCTCAAATGTGATTCTACAGTTCCATAGTAGGCAGTAAGAAGTGCATTTCTGTTGACTATAGTTGATAATCTATGTAATGCATATGCAGACTTACTTATTCTCTTACATAAACTATCCACTTGTGATTTCCAATTCAATTGTTGATCTATTTGCAAACCCAAAAACATTGTACTTTCAACTTCTTCTATAGTATTATTGTTGTTCTGTACTTTCAAATTTATACTAGCAGTTCGAATAGTTTCATTATTTAAGCTAGTTTTTTTTTATTAGATACTATTCCAGGCTAATAATATTATAATCTATCTCTATGACTTTCATTCAGATATGTTTAATAGCTTTTGAGTGAAAGATTATAAAATAGATATATACTACACACTCATACTCTCTCATCTTCAAAAATGTTTGAATTTAAATATTGGTAGGAATAATATGAATTGGTAGGACAGAATATGATACAGGTACAGTACAATAGGGTAGTTTCCTAAATTTAATTTTAATCTCCGTCTGGTACACTAATTTAAAACTTTAGACACGTATTTTTTCTTTTCTCACAAAATGAAATACTTTCGACGATATATTAATTTGAAATATCATGTGACGTCACAGCGTGCCACATTTTGTAGCACGTTATGAAGTAACGACCTCCCACTCCTAAACTTAGCACCATTATACCTCTATCTATGTATTGCAACTTAATACGAGAAAATAAAAAATATATGTCTAATATTTTTTCATTGTCTAACTGACGGACTAATTAGATTTTTAATTTTGATACCCTGGAAACTACCCAATTACATTGTAATATGTTTTCATAATAAACATCGTGAGAGATGCTGAATTAACTAAAAATTTGCAAACAGCGTGCGCGGTCACGACGATGTCGCGCAGCCTACCTAGCCACGACTACGCAAGCTGCTCATGAGGAAGAGCCCCTCTGTGACTCGAAACTAGTAGAGCTTTTCTCAGTATAATATTTACGAGAGTAACTCGTAATTTTTAGTTAATTTACATTGTAATATGTTCTTATATCGACAACAGCTGGACTGATCTATTTTTTAACATGTGATTATGGTCTAAGAAATATGTTTATGAGGTGAAATTTTAAAACGTTATGACACGCAGAAATAATCATACTAAAATTAATGCAGCAGTTTAGTAAATTGATAAAACTTTAATAAACAAACACATGCCTTTTTTAATGAATAAGAAAATCACGATTTTATTTTAATAGCATATTTATTGATTTATTTTTACTTATAAAGTAAGTGGTTAGTATAAACTGGCACCAGTTCAGTCATTTCGGTAGAGAAATGGGTGCGAATCACTGGACTTTAGTTGTATTGCTCCTTCTGCCTTCTGGCTTATTAGGGAGTCCTACAGGTAAGCTTTGCACACTATTATGTATTCATAAAATCATCATTCGCTCAGCAAAATTGTGGAATGATCTGCAGCCGGCGATATTTTCGAACCGACCTTCAAACCTTCAAGAAAAGAGCGTATTCCTTTTTTAAAGGCCGGCAACGCACCTATGACTCCTTTGGTGTTGCGGCGCTGATCGCTTACCATTAGGTGATCCGTTTGTCTACTATTCAATAAAAAAATTAACAATAATGACAAATACGTACTTATGTCTATTCATGGCATTCATATTTTTTAGTAACTGTTTCTTTGGTCTTACAAGTTTCGAAAATTGGGAGATTCCATTTTAATTTTCATTTGTTTTTGATTTTATTTTTATTGGTGTTATAGATATACCTCATGTGATTGATAAAAGTGCTATGGTCAATATGCAGACTACACACATGGCCCAGTTTTAACTATACAGTCTTTAAATAGTAGGTCCATACTGCCTACAGCAGTAGGCAGTATGGCAGCAATACTGCTGTAGGCAGTATGGACCTACTATTTAAAGACTTCAAATAAAACTATACGTTTGCTCTACACACCTGATGTTTTAAACTATACAATTAAATCGTAACGTGTGTAACGTGCATTAAAAATGTGCCCAAGTCTGACACTAAGTAAATTATTATATTCTCTTAGGCGATGATGCCACTGGTTCCGCTGCTCTGTCCACTACAGGTAATCCTAACATTAATACTTTATATCTTAAATCTACTATATAAAAATTTTATTCATTCGTTGGAAAGGTCTAGGGCTCCGTGAGGTTTATATGATATACAACAATAAAAAATCTTCTTCTTCATCTTTTAATCACCAAACGAAATGTTACATAAAACGAAGCCGGTGGCGAAACGGAGTTCGCCGGGTTTGTTAGTATCATACAATTACATATGTATATCAATAAAAATGAATCCTAAAATTGTTTATATGAGCTTTATATCTTCAGAATGGCTGCAACAATTTACCTAACCTAGATAACTATTTAAGTTTGGCCAGTTCAGTTTCAATTGACCATGAAGATTGTGGTACTGGGTTATAACGAAGAGGTCTGCATAGTTTTGCGAATAAACTATGAACTGCGGAACCGAATTGAAAAAAAATAGTGTAACTAGTTATACTTAACCACTGAAAAAGGTGTAAGATTATAAATTGACTAATTTTACAGTGGGACTTCGTGGTTTAGCTGAGTCAAATGCATATTCAACGGCTTTAACACATGGAGGTGAGTAATTGGGCGTTATTTTTTCCATTCAGTTTTATAATAATTTGTAAAATAATCTTATGCTCTTAGCACGTACAAATTACATCCTTAATTCTTTATCTAGTACATAGCCACTGTTTGGATGACATTGTTGACCAGGCCGATAGTACCATAACATACTAATGTTTCAAACGAGTTTGGTATATAAGTAGGTATATAGACACGAAGGTAGATAAGTAGGTACATCCAGCCGTCAACAATTGCACGAGCCTGCGGGCGGCGAGCACGGGTGGCTCACCATCCGACCAGAACCAGACCCGAGCGTACAGAGCGTCGCATTCCGCGCGCGCCTCAATAAGCCATCAGACCACCATAGATGGGCCCCAATAGCACTGATGCCGATTCGGAGCCGCGGAGAACTTAACGGGTTGCCTGGGTTCCAGCTCGATGTGCAGGAGTAGGAACGGGGTTTTAGTCAGTATGAGTCTGACACTCCCTTTCGCCTCACTCGGGCGGGAGAAGTAATTGGATGATATTAACCCCTCAAAAAAAGCCGTCAACAATTACAGATCTGTTTTTTCAACAACAATTAGGTTGTAAATAACAGATATTTAGTTTACTTATTATATCTACAATTTTAGTTGTTGTTACAAATCATGGTATAATATAATGGTTACTGATATCAATTCTGTCACTGTTTCAATCCTTCAGTGAAGAAAGAACAATACCAATGTATAAAGTCGATTTTGAATTTGTTCTATGACATTGTATAGTGGACCTACTTCTTAACATATCATAACATAACATCACGCCTTTTTATCTCAGAAGGAGTAGGCAGAGGTGCACATTTCGGCACTTAATGCCACTGTACAATGTAATACCCACTTTTTCACTATTTTTGTTATGAGTCCCATGTAATAGGGGGTGAGCCTATTCCTATCTACTTCTTAATGCTCAGTTAAAGAATTTTTTGAGTAAAACTTTTTTATACTGTACAGGTCCTGGAGGTGGTGGTGGTCTCGCAGAATCGGGTGCATTTTCGAACATATTGACGCATGGAAGTAAGTATGATTTTTAGTATTTGCATTTAAGAATTAATTAGATTGGAACTTTATCTTTTGGCATTTTAAATGACAGATGAGAACTTGGCGGTAGAAATTTTCTTTAAAAAATGTAGGTAAACGTTAATACCGATGTCCTCTTTTACAGGAGGTGGAGGATTATCCACATCAGGTTCACGTTCAAGTTCTTTAACCCGCGGAGGTAAGCAGATATACACTTATTCAATACTTTAACTAACATAGAAGAAACGTTTGATAGTTTGCGTTAAGTATCCTCTGACAGTAATTAAAAAAGGTTACTGGAGCCTCAACCTCTTTCTGTGCCTTGGTCCCCAATCCCTAAATGTGTGGAGCTGCAGTAGTTAGTAATTCCTACTATTTTTCTAAACGATGTGAAACTTCTAACGTATTTATACTTTACAGGTAAAAGCAGATCGGAATCAAATGGATTTGCACATTCTTTATTGGATCCTAGACGTAAGTTCAAAGAAATAATAATATTTGTGTTATTATTTATTCTCAGAAAATGACAACTTTTTTTCTTATTTACCTATAATGTGTTTTTGTGAACAGAGTGATTGATTGAATAATAATAACAAGAAACACCAATAATATCCACATTGACACAACGTAATGGTTTATTTTGTATTATAATATAGTATTATACATATATTATTATTTATACATAGTATAAATTTCGTAGATTTATTTTTGTGCAATGTTCACTTGTACATGGAATACGTAAAAAATATGTAATAGTAGTTCATATTATTTCTTTTTATTTCCAGGAGGTGGAAACAATGGCGCTGAAGCCTATTCAAGCGCTAACAGTAGTAAGATATTCTATTATTCTGTTAATTACACTTTGATGATTAAATAATACGTATAAATAAATTAAATCACAAAAAACTAAGGGAAAAAAATTGGTAAGCGGTTGGTTAGTGTTTAATTAAATATTATTTTATTTCAGATAGCTATGGCGGCAATGGAGCCTCAAATTCTATCGCAGATGTTATGACGAGTCTAGGTAAGATTAGTTTAAGGAACTTATTAGTCAACAGAAATTCAGGCTAGGCTTACTAACACAACATGACAGTCACAATATACATACATATGTATATGACCCGAGCGTACGGAGCGTCGCGTTCCGCGCGCGCCTCAAAGAGCCATCAGACCACCACGGATGGGGCACAACAGGGATGATAGATACCGATTCGGAGTCGCGGAGAACCTAACGCGTTACCGGGGCTCCAGCTTGAAGCGCAAGAGAAGGAACGGGGTGGTTTTTAGTCAGTAAGAGTCTGACTTTCCCTCCCGTCTCAACCAGGCGGGAGCAGTCATTCGATAATTTTTTTCCCTTAAAAAATAATATATATATGACATATTTAGATATCGTCTACTCTTTATATACCTCTGATTATAAAGATTATTAAATACCACTGATAAACGGTGAAGGAAAACATCGTGAGGAATCCTGGACTTATAATATCTAATTATAAGTGTGACATCGCCAACCCGCATTGAGCAAGCGTGGTGATTAATGCTCAAACCATCTGACTGTGAGAAGAGGTCTTTGGCCAGTAGTAACCACTTATAGGCTGTTGATGTGTGAGATGATTATATACCTCAAAGGGGAAAACAAAACTGCATATATTGAAAATTGTGTCATTCTGAAAAACAAAATTTTTTGTAGGAGGCGAAGGTTCATCTCAAGCAGGTTCCTATTCGAATGCAGAAAGCAGTGGGGGTAATATATTTTATCAATCTTATATGTGCCGGCTAACTTAAACTTAAGTAATCAATTCAGTATAAAATCTATCAAAAACCAAAAAAACATAACATCACGCCTTTTATCCCCGAAGGGGTAGGCAGAGGACATTATGCTACTGTACAATGTAACACCCACCCCTCACTATTTATGTTATGAGTCCTATGTAATAGGGGGCGAGCCTATTGACCGGGCACAAATCCAGACTCCATGCTACTACTGAGATTTTTTTTGAAAAAACCCAGTGATACTTTGCCCGACCCGGGGATCGAACCCGAGACCCCTTGCACGGCAGTTGCATTTGCAACCACTCGGCCAACGAGGCAGTCAAAAAATAAATAAGAAATCGTTTATGTATAAGTATTTTTTTTATGTTTGCTTATGGGACGACGTGCTCCATCGTAGACCGCATCATCGCTTACCACCAGGCGAGATAGTGGTCAAACGTCGCCCCATCAAATATAAAAAAAAAATACCAGAAGCAAGTCAAGCATTATCACTTACAAATAAAACGAATGACAATGAAACAAATAAAGCTTTACCTTAAATTGGTGTAATCCCATCTCATAAACTACAGTCGATTAATAATCTAAAAATGTCTAGAAACAAAAATAATTTGTGGATATTAAATTATGCCCATTTTACAGGAAATAGAGATAATACAGTGCAATCCGGTGCATATTCAAATGCTGTAACTAATAGAGGTAAGATTATCTTCATACAAAGAAATGAATAAAAGTTTGTTTTGTTTTCGTATTTAACATAACATAACATCAACGCCTTTTATCCCCGAAGGGGTAGGCAGAGGTGTACATTACGGTACTTAATGCCACTGTACAATATAACACCCACTTTTCACTATTTATGTTATGAGTCCCATGTAATAGGGGGTGAGCCCATTGCCATTTACCGGGCACAATTCCTGAGATTTTTTGAAAAAACCCAGTATTACTTTGCCCAACCCAGGAATCGAACCCGAGACCCCTTGTCCGGCAGTCACACTTTCGACCACTCGGCTAAAGAGGGAGTCATTTTCGTATTTTAATCTGTTTATTTTTTGTAACATAGCAATTGAAAAATCCAAGGGCTGGTGGTTACATATTAAACAAAAACTCTTATACCCGAAGACTGAAAGGCTATTTAATTTTAAGTTGAACTTAAATATCGTGCCAACTTTGTCATTATACAAAGAAACTGTAGTGACAGAACTATTGTTAAGCGCGACTTATAATTCAGTGGTGTTTCAATATAGGGGCATTAATTTCATTTTAATTACATTAGCAATAAATATTTTTATTTATTAAAAAGCGTTACGTCTAAAATGAAATAAAACTTTACAGGAGGCAGGGGTGGATCAGCACAGTCTGGTGCATATTCCAGTGCAACCAACGAAGGTATCACATAATTAATTATATTACATTCTATTCACATAAAATCCATACGATGTTTTACCATTTTTATGATTATTTTGTAATAATAATTACATTACATAACATCACGCCTTTTATCCCTGAAGAGGTAGGCAGAGGTTTACATTATGCCACTGTACAATGTAACACCCACTATTCACTATTTATGTTATGAGTCCCATGTAATAGGGGGTGAGACTATTGCCATATACCGGGCACAATTCCAGACTCCGTGCTACTACTGAGAATTTTTAACACCCAAGAAAAATTTGCCAATGAATTATTTTCAGGCAGAGGTTCAGCACAAACTGGGGCATATTCTAATGCTATGACTAAAGGAGGTAAACATTTATATTACATTATAAGTATAATCTAAAATCAAGAGAAAGCCTGAATCATATCGTTTAAACTGAAATTATACAATATTTCTGAAACTCTACAGGAAGAGGAGGTGGTTCAGCACAATCGGAAGCATACTCGAATGCTATGTCGGATGGAGGTAAATAGTTCATGGTTAAGTAAAATCGCGGGTTACTCTCGTGAATATACTGAGAAAAGCTCTACTAGTTTCAAACCACAAAGGGGTTCTTCCTCATGAGCAGCGTGCGCGGTCATTAATAAAGTATAATATTAATTCTGAAACTTTACAGGAAGAGGGGGTGGATCAGCACAGTCTGGAGCATACTCAAATGCTATGACAAATGGAGGTAAAGAACATTAATGTATGTTAGCTACATAAAATGATATAATTAGGAATTGAGTTCAAAATGACGAAACTGTAAATTTGCGGGAAGAGGAGGTGGTTCAGCGCAAGCGCATTGTTTTATTTATGTTACCAATATAATTTAAAATAAAATAACTGAATTAATACAAAATTCCTCAAACTTTACAGGAAGAGGTGGAGGATCAGCACAATCAGGAGCATATTCGAATGCTATGTCAAATGGAGGTAATGATTAAGATTTTTATATTACCTCTACATACATAATCAAATTTTATATATAGAGGTATTTATATATTTGGTAGGCCGACCTTTAGCCACTGTGGTAATCGAAAACCAGTGGTAAAATTTAAGTTAGAACTGAATTTATACAAGATTTCTGAAATTTTACAGGAAGAGGAGGTGGTTCAGCACAGTCTGGAGCATACTCAAATGCTATGACCAAAGGAGGTAGAGATTTTGTTTTTTTATGGTACCAATGTAATTTAAAACAAAATAACTAAATTTATACAATATTTCTATAACTTCTAAGGAAGAGGAGGTGGCTCAGCACAATCAGAAGCATACTCGAATGCTATGTCGGATGGAGGTAAAGATTTAATATTTCCAAAAAAATACAAGTAATAGAAATGAAATGAAAACAAAATTATCAAAAAAATATTAAAACTTTGCAGATGGCAGGGGTGGTTCAGCCCAATCAGGAGCATACTCTAACGCTATGTCAGATGGAGGTAAACATTTTGTTTTTACATTGCATACATATTATAATTTTAAATTGTAACTATATAAAAAAATCTAAAACTTTACAGGAAGAGGCGGTGGCTCAGCACAATCAGGAGCATACTCAAATGCCATGACCAAAGGAGGTATAAAATTAATATTATTAAAGTACAGATATCATTTAAATTTAGAGGTAATAAAACTTTAGCTCAAAGTCGGTCAGCGTGCGATGGAGAGAACTATGCCCGGGATTTCTTTGCGCAACAAAATCCGAAATATGGAAATTCGCCAAAGAATATAGCTCGCAAAATCTGCAGACTGAAGTGGCAATGGGCAGGCCACGTCGCTCGAAGGACTGACGGCAGATGGGCTAGGAAAGTCCTTGAGTGGAGACCACGAACCGGAAGACGAAGCGTGGGTAGGCCTCCCGGCAGGTGGACCAGCGACATCGCCAGAGTTGCGGGGAGTCAGTGGATGCAGGTGGCGAATTGTCGTTCAACGTGGAGGACTAAGGGGGAGGCCTTTGTCCAGCAGTGGACGTGATGATGATGATGATGATGATGATGATGATGATGATGATGATCATGATGAATAAAACTTTACAGGTAGAGGAGGTGGTTCAGCACAATCGGGAGCGTACTCAAATGGCATGACTAATGAAGGTAAAAGTTATGCGTATTACTAAAATTCGGTGAAATTCACACTGATATTATAAAAAAACATTATTTTACAGGAGGCAGAGGTAATACAGCTCAATCTGGGGCATACTCAAATGCTATGTCAAATGGAGGTAAAGAACATTAGTGTATGTTAAAAAATATAATTATGAATTAAGTTCAAAATAACAAATATATAAATTTACAGGAAGAGGAGGTGGTTCAGCACAATCAGGAGCATATTCTAATGCTATGTCTAATGGAGGTTAGTGTGTCTTATTACAAGTAAAAATACCTACATATAATCCGAAAATAAATTCAAATTGAAACGGAGTAAACATCCTAAAATGTTACAGGAAGAGGAGGTGGTTCAGCGCAGTCAAGAGCATATTCTAGTGCTGTGTCCAATGGAGGTTAGTTTGTCTTTTTAAAAGCAAAAATACATATAATAAGAAAATAAATTGAAATGGAGACGTAGTAAACAAAAAGTTCAGCACAATCAGGAGCATATTCTGATGCTGTAGCCAATGGAGGTAAAAATATTTATGCTATTTGTTATATTTAATTGAAATAACAAAATGCTACTGACCGTAAAGACAAATGATTTTTGACTGATCAAGTATAATGCTTTCAGGAGGTAAAGGCGGTTCAGCGCAATCTGGAGCATATTCTAGTGCTGTAACCAAAGGAGGTAAGACATAAGTATTTAATGGACGCAAGTAAATAAAATTGAATGTCGTGGTGGCCCGGAGGTTGAAGACGCCTGCTTCTCATGCACGAGGAAATTAAATGGGTTCGAAACCTACCAACGGCAAGTACCAATGTGACTTTTTCCGAGTTATATGTACTTTCTAAGATTATTTAGACACCACTGACAAACGGTGAAGGAAAACATCGTGAGGAAACCTGGGCTTATAATTTTATATAAGTTTCAAATCGCCAACCCGCATTGAGCCAGCGTGGTGATTAATGCTCTAACCGTCTCCGTGTGAGAAGAAGCTTTGCTCAGCAGTGGGCATTTATAAGCTGTAGATGATGAAGTAACTAAAATAGTGAAAGAATAAAACAATAGAAATGAAGATCAAAATCAAATTGAGTTAAAAATGTAACTTAAATGTAAATGTAACTTTGCAGGAGGCAGAGGTGGATCAGCTCAATCTGAGGCCTATTCTAATGCTGCAACCAACGGAGGTGAGAAAAAGTTGTTTGTGGAGGAATCTTATGCACATTGGTTTTGAAGATTTCATATTATAACCAGAACTTCAAAATTATTATTATTATTACTACAGGAGGTAAAGGAGGTGCAGGAGAGTCTGGTGCATACTCGAATGCTGCAACCAATGGAGGTCAGAATAGTAATTTATGTAGTCACTTTTATTAACACGGAATAACGTATTTTTTTACTGTTAATGATTTATACCTTTTTTTATACCACGAGGGTGGCAAAAAAGCACACGGCCCACCTGATGGTAAGCGGTTACCGTGGCCTATCTACGCCTGCAACACTTAATTAGTATTATTCATTTTGTGATTCAAAATTTACCGTTTGTACCGTAAACATGACAGGAGGCAGGGGTGGTTCAGCACAGTCAGGTGCATATTCCAGTGCCGTAACAAATGGAGGTACAAAAAACATTCAATATTTCATGTTTTTATTACAATTGTACTGAAATCTGTATAATCTGTCAATTGTACTGGCTCGTTGGCCGAATTGTTGCCAGTGCGACTGCCTGGCTAGGTATCTCGGGTTCGATTCCAGGGTCGGGCAAAGTATAAAAAAAAATTTCAGTAATAGCACGGAGTCTGGAAACGTGTATGGCAACAGGCTCACCCCCTGTAATATGGGGCAAACAACATAAATAGTGAAAAGTGGGTGTTACATTGTATAACGTAACACCCACTTCACACCCACACTACTGTATAGTAGTAGTACCTAAGTGCGTAATGTCCATCTCTGCTTACATCTTCGGTAATAAAAGGCGTGATATTATGTTACGTACTGAAATTGTTAAAAGAAATGTATAGAATGTAAAACATAAATAGTGAAAAGTGGGTGTTACATTGTACAGTGGCATAATGTGCACCTCTGCCTACCCCTTCGGGGATAAAAGGCGTGATGTTATGTTTATGTTTATGTTTATGTAGAATGTAAAACTAAGAGGAAAAACAAAAATATATATAAAAAAAAATTAAACATCACAGGAGGCAGGGGTGGCTCAGCGCAATCCGGAGCATACTCAAATGCTATGACTAATGGAGGTAAAAAACTATTTTTACAGTAATAATATTTTTTAACTGTGATCGTAAAAATATTCAATCCTTTACAGGAGGCAAAGGTGGTGCAGCGCAATCAGGAGCATATTCTGGTGCTGTAACCAATGGAGGTAATATAAACATTCATATGTGTAGGTATACTATAATAATGATATTATAAGTAAAAAGGTGTAGATAGGTTACCTAAACAGTGACCGATCTTTGCACTTGAATAACGTTAACAACGCATTACGCAACACAACTAGGGATAAAAAGTGGCCTAAATGGTATTCCATACAATTTACTTCTGTTCCAAATTTTATTTCGATCCCTTTTTTATGGCATAAGCCGGTAAACGAGTAGACGGATCACCTGATGGTAAGCAATCGGTGTCGCCCATGGACACCTGGAACACCAGAGGCGTTACAAGTGCGTTACCGGCCTTTTGGGGAATCCCCAAAAGGAACGAGTAACGATTCAGGAATTAGGGAGATTGGGGAAGGGGAGGGTAATTGAGCCTCAGGTAACAGGTACAGGTAACCCTTTAGATATTTTGCTAAATAAAGCTTTACAACAATGCTAACAACTTTACAGGAGGCAAAGGTGGTGCAGCGCAATCCGGAGCATATTCTAGTGCTGTAACCAATGGAGGTAATGCATTTATTAGTATAATTGCCTTGTTCTCTTAAAATACTTAAAACGTCATTTCGATGTTTTATTCAGTTACATTAGTTAAAGTTATCTTAAAGAAATAGCATAACATAACATCACGCCTTTTATCCCCGAAGGGGTAGGCAGAGGTGCGCACAGAAGTAACAGCCACTTTTCACTATTTATTTTATTAGTCCCAAGTAATAGGGGGTGAAGCCTATTGCCATATACCGGACACAATTCCAGACTCCGTGATACTACTGAGATTTTTTTTTAAACTCAGTATTAGGTACTTTGCCCGACCAGGGAATCGAACCCGAGACTACTTGCCCGGCAGTCGCACTTGCGATGCAGCAACAGATTTATGATAAATTTAAAATTTATAGGAGGTAGAGGTAGCTCAGCGCAGTCGGGAGCGACTTCAAGTGCTGTAACCAATGGAGGTAAGAATCAACAACAACAAATCAATACATCGTTGCTCATATTTAATTAGTAACTACTTCCGCGCGGTTTCACACGCTCTGCTCAGCTCCTATTGGTCGTAGCGTGATGTTTTATAGCCTATAGCCATCCTCGATAAATGCGCTATCCAACACAAAAATAATTATTCAAATCAAGCTTGTAGTTACGGAGACAAACGCGTTCAAACAAACAAACAAAAAACAAACTCTTCCGCTTTATATAATAGTATAAGATAAGATTGTAATTTAATTATGTATGACAGTCGCATTTGTTTTCTTATAATAGAAAACTATACATGTTACCAATGGAGGTAAGACTAGATTACTAGGCAGATTTCATAAAATACAAACCAAATACTTTTTCTATGTTATTATTTTCAAAACTATCTTTAAAAGAATTGAGAACCTCCTCCTTTTTTTAAAGTCAGTTAATAAATAAAACTTGTGTTAGTATTTAAAAATTAGATGATTATCCAATTCGTTCCTCGAATCGACTAAATGGTTAATAGATAATTTATTTCAATAAAAACTTCAATAAAATAAATACTAACTATTACTTAATTAAATATATACAACTTAAACTGTCAAACACCGCGAGAACACCGGTGACCGCAACCTATTATTGTTTTTTTAATTGTGTCTATAGAGGTACTGACGGTACTCAAAGGGTTAGGATAAAAATTAATTAAAATAAAACTAAAAACAACTATTTACATAAGGCATCGAAAAATTCGTATTGACGTCAGTGAGGAAAGTACCCAGAAGGCTGGCAGCATTGTGTATTTTGTTTCACATTTTTTTTTCTTTTATAATAAAATTGAATAATACATTTTAGGAGGCAGAGGTGGTTCAGCGCAGTCAGGTGCATATTCAAGTGCTGTAACTAACGGAGGTAAGAGGGAAGGATGTAACTAATATAATTTACTTTAAATATACAATTCAAATGTATTATGTCATTACGTTAAGTCATTCATATAAGTAAAACAATATTTTAATTCATAGGAGGCAGGGGCGGTACAGCGCAATCTGGCGCATATTCCGGTGCTGTTACTAATGGAGGTAAAATAACAGTTCTATTTAATGCATGACATTCAAGGCCCGAGTAATAGGTTACTTATGGGATGACGTACTTGTGGCGACGCATGCCACATGTCAACGGATGACGTCATAAGAATCCTACATCGCACATGCAAAGTTTACAAGCGAATAAACACGGATAGAAAATCCCAACGAAAAGCTGTTGGGCAGAAAGCCATCATAGACCGTATCGTCGAAAACCATCAGGTTGGAAATATTTATATTTGATGGTCTAACGTCAGCCTATCAAATATAAAAAAATATAGTGTTTTTCATTCAAAAATATTTGCAAGCTTAAAGCATAATTATCTTCCACGTATTTTTTAATAAGTTGTTAAATGAATTCAAAAGAAATCTTATATGAAAAATATCAAAAACACTTTTTTCGTAGGTAAAGGAGGTTCAGCACAGTCAGCCGCTACTTCAAGTGCTGTAACTAATGGAGGTAATCATTTAAAAATATTTACAGATTAAAACATCGTTATTTAGTTTCACGATTTGGTAAATCAATACATAGAAAAGATGCCGCGGAGAACCTAACGGGTTACCGGGGCGGCTCCGGCTCGAAGTGCAAGAGTACGAATGGTGTGGTTTTTAGTCCGTAAGAGTCTGATACTCCCTCCCGCCTCACTCAGGTGGGAGAAGTAAATCGATGATTTTCCCATTTATTTAAAAATGAGCCACATATGGTTTTATTTGCTGATGACACTTCATTGGTTTTTAAAATGAATAGACGGACAAATAATTATGACGATGTAAATAACGCCTTAATGGAGGTTCAAAATTGGGTTACATTAAATAATTTAGTATTAAACGATAAAAAGACAAAATGTATTAGATTTGTTTTGCCAAATGTTAAAAGCAGCGAATGTGACATATTATTCAATGATGAGATGAGAAATTGGAATTTGTAAAAGAGACTACTTTTTTGGGGATTACTGTAGACGACAAACTGCAATGGGGTCCTCATATTACATCGTTAACGGGACGATTGAGCTCTGCAGCTTATGCTGTCTGGAAGATCCGACAGTTGACCGACATAGGCACACAATTTGAGATTGGCGAAAGTAAGTAAATCGTTCATAGGATTCTGTGTTAAATGTTATAACAAGATACCAAGCGATATATGTACAACACCTAAATGAAATGAAGTTTAAATTATGTATAAAAAAACTTTATGTAGACAAGCATATTACAAAATTATTGATTATATAGAAGATAAAAATGCTTGGATGCACGCTGGTCCAGCTCCACGGGATAACGAAAAACATTGATGTGTCCATGAAATTCAACCTAAATATTACAACGTAGTTGCTTAAATGTATATTGTTTAACTTGCATAATCATTGTTAATGTGAGAGCCCTGTAATTAACTAAATATTAAATTGGACTAGTAGAATGCATTTATGTCAGCTTGGAGTTGTTATGTTCACTCAAAGATCTCATTGGCGGAGGCACGTGCATTGGGTCGCTAGATTCCCTGCAATATGGTTGAGTTGGGCGGTGCTGGTGTACGTGTCATGTTCGTGAACGGGCGCCGTCAACTGTGACTGGTCAGCTCCAGACTGTATTATTTATTGTCTTTAAGGGTTATTTTCTTTTTCGATCTCTTTGGCTAGATTTGGTGTTACATTGTTCTCGCACAATCAAACCAATAAAACTGTGTAACTGAAGAATTGTATTGTGAAACTGATTGGAAAAGAGTAACCTATGGAGTTTCTTGCTCGTTCTTCTCCATAGGAATCTACACCTTGGAATGAGCAAATAGCTTCACTTTTAAATTTCTATTGCTGACGTTCAAAAGTGCCTTCCTGGTCTAATTGAAATAAATGATTTTTGACTTTGACTTTGACTTCCCCCCTTAAAAACAATACATAGAAAAGATAAATGATAAAAAACATCAAACTATTTTTTTTTCTTAGGTAAAGGTGGTTCAGCACAGTCAGCCGCTACTTCAAGTGCTGTAACTAATGGAGGTGAGTTATTTGTAAGAAATACATTATTCACAAACTGTAAAGGACTAGTATAATTATATTATGTTTATTGACAAATAATTTAAAGTAACTGCTTATATAATACCTTTAAACAAGCAATTCTTGTATATATCCATACATATATCAACGATCTCTGACTACACGGTTGGCGCGGTGGTTGGGCAACTGGCTTCCGCGCAACGTGTCGCGGGTTCAATTCCTGCACAGAACAACTCTTTGAGTGATCCACAGATTGTTGTTGTGATGTTTCGAGTCTGGGTGTCATGTGTATGTGAACTTGTATGTTTGTCACGACACAGGAGAAAATCCTAATGTGGGGCAACGTTTAAAAAAGAATCTCGAAAACAGCTTCAACATTTACTTGAAGTTTCGAGAGTGATAGGTTTATCTAGCTGGCTAGATCAGGTGATCTAGCTAGACTTTATTTTTAGAAAAGGTCGTAATTATTGAATTTTTACAGCAGGCAAGGGTGGTGCAGCTCAGTCTGGAGCATATTCCAGTGCTGTAACAAACGGAGGTAAAAGAATTATACCTAATGATAACTTATTTCTTATTGAATTCTTTGAATGAATTAAATTCCAATTATGCTTTAGCAGGCAGAGGCGGTGCAGCGCAGTCAGGCGCCTATTCAAGTGCTTTAACTAATGGAGGTATAAATGCTTATTTGTTTTAAATATCTTAAATTAAATAATCACAACTTAAGTCATGTGATTCTAGGCAAAGTAAATTAAACAAATCGTAACTTTATTGCAGGCAAGGGTGGTGCAGCCCAGGCAGGGGCATATTCTAGTGCAGTAACGAATGGAGGTAAAAAAATAGTTATTTCTATAGAAACTATACTTAACATAATATCACGCTTTTTATTCCCGACGGTGTAGGCAGAGGTGCACATTACGGCACTTAATGCCACTGTACAATGTATCACCCACTTTTCACTATTTATATTATGAGTCCCATGTAATATGGAGTAAGCCTATTGACAATTCCAGACTTCGTGT